ATACTTGTTTTTCATCTCAGACTCCAGCAGGTTTTTCTTGCCCATCTAGCAGCTTGCAGGCTTTTGAATGATCACACCTGGTTAAGGGCTGCTCTCAGGGCAGGGAAGGCAGTAATTGCCAGGCTCTTCTGGTCTGCTATATTCTGGGCTAAACGAGTCCTGGAAGCCTGAGGGCAGCCCCCCAACAAAGATGCGGGTACTGGATATTGAAAGTCAGGTTGGTGTCCACAGAAATGATGAGGGGAGATGGATGGAAGACGAACAGCTTCTGCTACAATATGTTAGCTTGCATCCTCATCAATATTATCATCATATATTTAACAGTTTCTGGGTGTCTGATCAAGTGCCATGTTGCTATAGGAATGGATGGTACAATGTCATAGAAACCTCACATGAAGCAGGTCTGAGTTTCAAACCCAGCTCATTCACTATGTGACCCTGATCCTCACCTTCCTCATAAGTAAAATGGGAAAAGTATTCACACCTACCTCTTAGGGTTATGGTGAGGAGCCTATCACAGAGCTTAACATATGAGCAAGTGCTCTAGTATTTGTTAATAAAAGAAAGGATTTTGAGTTGATCCTGTTGTTAATATATGAAATGGGGAAAGTATACACGCCTATAGATATGGGGCTGGAAATAAGTGTGGGCTGCTTTAGCTAATGCTGAACATAAAATAGAGGGCATTTAATACTGTGACCAGGAGGCTGGACATTCAGGGGGGGTCTGGCTGAAGCTTTACTTGTGGTTGGCTTGCTACCAAAGCTTGAAAGCTCACATCTCTCATCCCAACTATACACAGTTATGGAAGAATTTGTACTTGAAGGGGATTTACCACTTCATAAGCACCATGCAAGTAGGAGCAGTATCTAATATAAACTCTATATCCCAGAGAGTGGAAGTGTTAGGCATGCAAGTACGTATTTGTTGGATTAATAAATAAACGAGTACAAAATTACATACAGAGCTTTTTCTCAGTCTGACCTAATCTACCACAATTGTAGCCGTGCTAAAATACCCTTTATTTCTCTTGTCACCCTCTGCTCCATGCCTATACTACATGTGTGTAGAAAAACAAATCTATTCTTGCCCTCTAAGAGAAAGCCTGTCTTTGCCCTCAGCTTCTGGGAAGTAATCTCCAAACCCTTGGAATGCTATATCTGATAGCAATGATTTAGGGTCAGGTTTTGGCCACATCAACAATGTAATTTAGGATGGGGGCTGTGGTTTATCTGACATCAGATCACTTCCTGGGGAGATTGGAGACTGAGATCAGCCACAGGGGCAGTGATGGAGCCCAAATAAAATCTCTAGGAGCTTGGGTGAGCTACTCTGATTGGCAATACTGCATGCATATTGTCGCATATTGATGCTGAAAAAGTAACACTGTCAAGACGTCATAGGGAGAGGACCAGGGAAGCTCCCCATTTAGTACTTTCTGAGACTCTTCCCTGTGCTTCTTTCCTTGGCTGACTTTAAAGTGTATCTTTTAGGCTTCTAATCCATAACTGTGAGTATAACAGTGAGTTCTGTAAGTCTTTCTAGTGAATTGTCAAACCTAAGGGTGGTCTTGGTTTGGACTTGTGACTGGTGTTAGACGGGAGGGTGGTATTGTGTTGGATTGGTTGCCCCAACTTCTCAGTTGCTCTAACCTTCACAACATTCTATAATTTTCCCTGTCTCCTGAGGCCTAGTTAAAACCTTTCCTTCTTTGGTAGATATTTCTAATGTTCATCCACATCTAGTTCTCCTGCCCTTCTGAGCTCAGAGGATTTTTATAGTTTTCTGCTCCCTTGAAGTTGGGTGAGACCACATGATCAGTTCTGGCCCTTTGATCTATAACTGGAAGCAGGGCTAGAGGTTTAGCTGTCAGTGAGAAATACTCTAGGACTCTCTCTCCAGCTGTGGTGATTATGGAAATATGTGTTCAGAAGGGAATGTAGTAAGGCAAAAAGCAGCCCCGATTGTACACTATTATGTGGACACTAGCTGGCCTGGAGTTACTGGACCCACAGCAGGATTTGCGTGAGCAAGAAATAAACTCTTGTGTGTTAGGCTATTGAAATTTGGGGAATATCTATTAGTGCAGCATAACTAAACTTATCCTGATTACAGAGATCTCCCTCAGTCAGCATCAACCACTCCATTCACTGAGTGCCTCCTGGCTGCCATCCACCCCTGTTATGGCACACACTTACATGTTCTCACTAAGCTGAGTGACTATGAATAGAGATTTTATTTGAGTCATCTTAGTATCCCTAGTGTACCTACCACGATGCCTGACTGAGATCACATTCTCAGGATATGTGAGTTGAATCTAATTCAGCTGTTTGGGAGCAAGGACTATGGAGAGGCATGGCTATTGTGGAAATAGACATAACCTCTCCTAGGAAGATGTCTTAAATGATCTATTGGTGGGCTAAGTAGAAGAAATAGAGGCTTCTGAAGAACACAGGGCCGCTGTATGCCCATGTGTTATCCCTCTCTTATGACAACAAAAGTGTCCATATGACTCTCATGGCCTATTGGAGAAGGAGGTCATAGCCCAAGATAGAAATGGAAGAGATGGAACCAAAATGTTACCTCCAAACATCCCTCTTCAACTGTATTGCAAACCCAGCTAGGCTTATCAACCTATGGCCGGGCTGAACTGTTGTCCTGCTGGTAGTGGGACTTCAGGAAATTCTTAGAAGTCACATATTGTTATCTGGGACGTGGTAGGTAAAGGCCTGGCAAGCAAGATCTACTTCATCAATCCCATATCTTGGTCTGAACAAAAGCTTCTGGGAGCCAGGAGTGAACAGATCAACATAAAGAAGGAAATCCCAAAGGGTCTCCAAGCTAAGTGGGCCAAGTGGCATGGTGGTGACTGCCATGACTGAAACACTGAAGCCAAAGCCCACAGCAGAGACCATGGTCTCCCTCACACTTGTTCTTGGTATTAGAGACAAAAGGACATATGGCTTCAGGCAACTGTTAGAGGCCTAGATTAGAAAACTTAATAGAGCCCTCAAGGAGCATATAGGGCATGACACTCATTTAGGTGTTAGTATCAACTCATTCTATATTCTTGCTTCACCTCCTGCCCCACAACCTGTGCCTCCTTCAGAAACACTCTGGGAGTAAGCAGCTCTGTGATCAGTTTGAATGGGAGAGGGGGACAGGTGAATAGTACTCACGAGCTGGGTAACTTTGGCCACTTTAAATGAGCCCCTGGCTCCTCTGGTGTGAAATGTGGGCAATGACCACCATTGCTAAATGGTCGTCATCAAGATTAAAAGAGACCGTCATATGCAAAGTCATTGAAAATAGTAGGAATTGTTGTATTTAGACAAGCCATAAGGCTCCTTCGTCAGACCCGGTGGGAGCCTTTCCAGGATAGAGGCAGGTCAGGGATGATTTAAGAGGCCTTTCCTGGAAGCTGGGATGAGTATCCTCTCTCCATTCTGGTTCTGGCCATCTGGGCACAGCACAGAGACATCTCTCCTGACCCCTGAGCCTCCCAGAAAAGAGGAAAGAACAAGAACCCATCGTTCTTGACACACTGCCCTTGAAATTGGTTAAGGTCCTGTGGCCCTCCCCTTTTGAAGGCCTTCTGAAAATACTTCAAATCCACTGCCACCTCCTCTCCCAATCAAGGGGAGAAACATAGTAAGTAGGCAAAGCAGATTGGAGACTTAGTAATTAGAGCGGAAAGTGGCACTTCCACCAATGAATATAGCAGCACTGTCATCAGGAAGTAAAACCAAGGGCAAGAAGTGGGAACAGGCTTCTAGCAAGTTTGTAAGTAGTAGTACAGCCATCCGTTATGGTAATAAAGAATATGGATTTATCATGTGGACCACTGGGGCTTTGAAAAACAATTCTTCTGGTGACTAGATGTATTTGATTTTAGGTACCTTAGAAAGAACCAGCTGCATCCAGGAGTGTAAGACGCCCACCCTTTGTCTCCCTACTCTCCACTGTAGGACCCTCAGAAGGCAACCAGGGAGCCTAAGACCAGGTGCAGTCCTCTTGCTCTGCAGCAGGTAACTTATATTCAAGTCTGGTAGCTGGGGAAGCTGCCTGCTGGGGACTGAGACTTTGACATTTGGTGAAGAGAGATGGCAGACACCATGGGAAAGGGAAAGGGCGGGGGCAGTAGGGAAAGAGGTTAAATGAGGAGAGAGCCAAGAAATGAAGAAATAGTAAAAGGTTACCGAAGGAGATTGTTTAATTATCACTTTCTCCAAATCCTGTGGGTGGGAGGCATCCCCAGGGTTTAGACATACAAGGCTTGCACCCTAACCCCTTTTATACATAAGTACTTCACTCGGGTTGGTGTTTAGTTGTTCTCAAGAAAGGCGGGTGAGGCAGTGCCAGGACAGACAGACCCAGGATGGTGTCTCTGACAGGTAGCATAAGACACCACTTGGGAGTCTGTGGGCAGCAAGGAGCATCTATGTATAGGTGACACCATGATGGAAGAAATAAGGTCACTTCACTCACTCTGGGGGAATGAGTAAGGAATGTATCTACCTCTGAGGAGACAAACCCAGAAGCATTAAGAAAGAAATAGGGGTAGAAGATTCCTAATTAGTATGATCTCTGGCTGGGTCCATAAACAACTTGTATGCTCCCACGAGTGCCCAGGGCAGGTACTAAGCTTGGTAGCACCAAGGAAAAGGAGCAAGGTCAGGAATGGGCTTTCAAGTCTGGTCCAAGAGCCAGGTGACCCGAAGGACTGTCCCATTCATAAAGACCCTTGAAGTGCCCCTAGTCACAGGATCAAATTTTATTCTTGTGACCAACTCTTCCCAAAAGAACACAGAAGGCCACAGCCCATGATTCCATTGCCTGGCAATGGTACAGTAGGACTGGCAAGCCAAGACTAGATTGGGGTAAGCTGCCTCCCACCAGGTAAATCCCCTTTATATTGTAATTGGAGAACAAACACACACACAAAAATGGCACGAGAGCTATGCCTGAGGTGTCTTTTTACTTCTTTTATTGAACTCCATAAATATTTTCATAAGGCTTTGTGTCATTACAACATCGTATTTTTGTTGTTAAACATTTTTTTTAAACACACAACTTTGACACTTGTTTGACAGGGTCAAACAGTCAGAAGAAACAAAGTAAACTGGCAAATGCAGAGCAGCAGGGGTAATCAAAATCACTGTTGCCCATCCATCCACCCCAGCCCACCCCATCCCCAAAGCACTAAAAGATCACTATTTGGCTTTACACTAGAATTGTTAGAACTCTCTTGTTGCTGTCCTTATAAATCCATTAGAGATATACACAGAGAGAGAATGGGGGAGAGGGGGAAAGAGGAGTTGGATTTCTGTGTTAGGACCATCCCACAGCAGGGCCCATAGAACACAAGAGCAAAGCCTTTTGAAGAGCAAATCCAGGCCTCATTGAGTTGAGGAAAAAGGAGCTCAGGGCCATGCAGAAACAAAGATTTACAGAGTTCTTGGGGATAGCACTGCTGTGAGGACACAGAACAGGACTGGACCATGAGCCCAGATAATGAGGCTCCCCATGAGACTGCTGGCCACTGGTTTAATTCGCTGCTATCAGCCGATGGAACACTACAACCAAGGGAGAACTGATTTCTTGTTTTCACAAGTTATTGGCATCTGGGTGAGGCCAGTGGGTTGGGTGGATGAGAGATAGATGAACGAGAGGTTGGTGGTGAGAGGTTATATCCCTGATCCTCAAGCTCTGGGTACAAGCCCAGTGAAGCACAAGGACAAGGGGGCTTGGCCAAGTGATGTTGTATGTCCAGGGACTTGTTTAAGCCTCTCCTGTTGGTGGGCTCTAAGACCCTGGAGAAATATGTCAACGCCAGGCCTACTGGGGAAGAATGACAAGTAGGAAAGAATGGAAGTTCAAGAGATGCCTACTCAGCCATTGAAACACATTCCACTCGCCAGGGAGGCCATTTTATCTTATGCACTGGATACCAGCTTACTTTCCAAGGGAGTTTAAATGGCTGGGTCATGTGCTAAGCAGGGGTGGCCAGTCCCGAGCCCCGGCCCTCTGCCCAGCTCAAATATATCCTTGGCTCATTCCACAAGTCTTATTTGGGTGTGGTAGAATGGAAGCTGAAACAGTCTGTATGTTGATTCCACAGAAGAAACATTCCCAGGTTGGGCAGGGCCTGGTCTGGGTCAGGAGACATAGAGTATCAATCAAGCCAGCTACAGTGAGGGCCAGAGGCAGCCATGGTTGCTGCTCAGTAAGCTGAGGTCCTTTCATGATGAAGTCTTCTCCCATGGGGTCCCGAACAGACTCACAATCTCCAGATTCCTCACTAGCGTGGTTCTCCATAGCAAGGCCAATCCTCACTCGTTTGTAGTCCATTCTTCTTGCTGTTCAAGGTCTATCCACCCAAGGGGCTATGTGGGGGAGGAGAAACAAGTACTCCTGTACCCACAGGGAACTCTCTGTGGGAGAAGTTACTTTTACCCAAGTGTAATTCTGCCAAAAAAAAAAAGGACCCTAAGTATAGGATCTCTGTCTCAGATCCTTTCTCCATAGGAAAAAGGCCCCCTGGGATCCTCACTTACTTGCTTCAAGTGTCCTGAGATGGGACAATGTTGGAAAGGGGGCCTTCTTCAAGTGCCAGAAGTGCTCTAACTATGGCAATACCAGCAACCCTCCTGTGCCAGTAGAACAGGAGAGAGAAGAAAGATAGGAAGAGGGGAAGAAAAGGGCCATGGAAGATTGTCCATGCAATCTGCTAACAATGGGGGAAGTCTCAAATAACTTGAATGGTAGGAACTGCAGGTACATATCTTGGGCCAAGGCTGTCTCTTTCCATAGCCATCCCTGGTTTTTCCTGTAAGAGGTTGCTGTCAGCCTTGATCTTGTCTATGCAAACAATTTAAAGGCAGCTGATGATCTTGGTCATGTAGGGTAGTCTCTGTCTTTATCCCTTCATATACTCCTGCAATGCTGCCTAAACAATCTGCAAATTGAAACAGGGATGACCAGGCCCTAAAACTGATTGCAATGGGCAGCCCTGTCTTAAATCTACTTGGTACTGGAGGCAATTGAATTCTTCCCACAAAAGGCAGAATTTCAGCCTGTCTGCTTCCAGTTCAGATCTTTTAGGTTAGGAGAGGGACAGACTCAAAAGGAAAACCATAACCAAACCATCTTGAAGAACAGAGTAATTTGCAAAACTAAATCCCAGATACAAAACTGTCATGACTGAGCAGTGCTGCAACATGGGAAAGGCCAGTGCTAGGAGAAGAAACAACCCAAATGGAGAATGTTCCCTGAACAGAGGATCTCTCCAGCATCATTAGAGTCTGACACACCCTTGCTTCTGTTTGGTTTAGATCCCTCTACAATACCTAAAACACAGTGAAAGCAATAGAAATATTGAGCATTTATGTCACAGGGCACAACAGAGCACGTCCAGACTTGCACACTGAGAACAGAAGATGCAGGGAGAGAGGGCTGTTTGGGGCAACTGCAGGGCTGCAGAAACATTCGCAGATAATGGTCAGCTGAGGGAGAAGAGAAAGAGGACCCTCCCTTTAGCTAGTAAAAAGTAAAAGGGAGAAAAATTCTAAACTCCCAAACCCCACCACATTAAATTAAATTCAAAAGTTATCAGCATCAGTATCATCAGGAAAGAAATAAACCAATATAAACACACCTATGGTAATAATGACAAGTCAATGAATCACTCACAGGGGAGTAAAGAGATTCTGTCAACAAGAAAAGGAACAAATAGAAATGTCAATTTCTGAAAGTAAAGGGGAAGGGTACAGAGTAAGAACAACAAAAAACTTTTAAGAAGGGATCAAATGTTTGGAAGTCATCGGTACCTCTTCCTACCAACTATAGATTTCACTTCCCCCAAAGAACAGAAAACGTTTTTGGTCCTTCTGTGTGTGTGTGTGTGTGTGTGTGTGCACACTCAAGGGTCTGTGTGTGTGTGTATATGTCCATATATATATATATGTATATATTTATAAATTTCAACAGTGCTTCTCCGAAAAAAGGTCCATCTATAAATATAATTTTATTTATTTTAAAATTATCTGCCTCCCTGTAGGTATTATTTTTTGAAGGGGGTTAACCTGCTGAAGTTTTGCCAGAATGGTGACTGGCTGCGCTTGGGTTCGGTGAACTCAAAGACCTGTGACTGAGCGATGCCATCTGGGACCAGGTACTGGCCCTGGTTCAATGGGTCCTGCGGTGGTGGGTAGGAAGGAGGAACTGAGCGGGCAGAGTTGACACCTAGAGTAGATGAAAGATCAAAGGGAAAGGGTGTAAGTTAAGTAGCCTGGGGATTCTCAAATTACCCACTGCCCACCATGGGCAGACAATTCAAAGCGATCTACTTTAGAATGGGAACTGGAACTGAAAATCACCAAGAGAAGATTTATATTCCTTAACAGATTTCGGAAGGGTGCGATGATTACTGCTACAACACTCTGCCGTCTACACCACATTACTGAGAATTTTGGGGTGTTGCCATTAGCCATTTCACAGATGAAGACAGTGACACTTGGAGGAAAATGTGATACTCAAAGTGGCAAAGCAAGGACTAGAACCCACATTCTTTGACTTCTCAGTTCAGAGCTCTTTCCAAGAGACCACAATCCATTGTGCAGGGCTTGGTGCTGCAAGTAACCCAACAACATCCATTAACATCAAACAACATTTTCTCCCTCCTCCACTCCCCCTAGAAGTGTCAAAAGAGCCTGGTTAAAAACTAATGATTTTAGCTCAACAAGTGTGGCTCAGTGGTTGAGCGTCAACCCATGCACCAAGAGGTAGCCAGTTCGATTCCCGGTCAGGGCACATGCCCAGGTTGTGGGCCAAATCCCCAGTGGGGGCATGCAGGAGGCGACCAATTGATGTTCTCTCTCATTGATGTTTCTGTCTCTCTCTCCCTGCACCTTTCTCTCTAAAATCAATAAAGGAAAAATAATAATAATAAAAAATAAAAAAAACTGGTGACTCTAGGGTAGATGTTTAGGGGAGGGAAATGTTTTTCTAAAAGCTAAGGTACAAGTGATCCAGTGTTCTATGCCAGGTTGAGAGTAATGCAACTGTATTTAATAGGGAAGTAACATTGGTAGTACAGGGAGAACGTGACTCACTACTAGAAAATATGATTTGTGGAACATAAGGAAGACTTGGAATATATTTATGACATTTCAAATGGAATGCTTCAATGATTTCCCAACTTTCACTAGGAGGGTTTGCAACCATCAAAGCAAAATCTACATGAATAGAGAATTCTCAGAACCAGGCTGAGATATACAGCATCTGATTCAAGGAAGACCTCTCTGCTGCTTCCATATGCCTTCCTCATCTGCTGGCCAGTGTCTGAAATTGCAACATTAAGTTTTTGGTTTGCCTTTGTTTGATGTCTTGATCCCAATACCCTGGAAGTAGTATATTAGGCTACCATCAGCCATTGGCACTTCAGTGGGAAGGAACTGGTTCTATTCTAAAAGGCAGTAGTTTTTGTTTGTATGAAACATGATACTTGATACACATATACATTGGTAAATGATTACCACAATAAGGTTAGCTAGTACATCCATCACCTCACATAATTACTTTTTGTGATAACATTTCAAAACTACTCTTTTAGCAACTCTCAAGTATACAACAAGTACTGTTAACTATAGTTACCATAGTGTATTTTATATCCCCAAAACTGTATGTTGCAACGGGAAGTTTGTGTCCTTTGAACAACATATCCCCACTTCCCCAAACCCTAGCCCCTGGCAACCACAAATTTATTTATTTTTCTATAAGTTTACCTTTTATAGATTCCAAACACAAGTGAGATTATATAGTACTTATATTTTACTGCCTAACTTATTTCACACAGAATAATGCCCTCAAACTCCATCTATGTTTCAATAAATGGCAGGATTTATTTCTTTTTAAGGCTGAATAATATTCCACCGTGTGTGTGTGTGCACACACGCACATGCACACATATACATACACCACATTGATTTCATCTGTTAATTCACTGGAGAACACGTAGGTTGTTTCCATGTCTTGGCTATTGTGGATAATGCTGCAAGTGAACATATAGGGTTACAGATATTTCCTCAAGCTTGGATTTCATTTCCTTCCCATATATGTTCAGAAGTGGGATTGTTGGATCAGATGACAGGTCTAATTTTAATTTTTTGATGACCCTTCACACTCTTTTCACTGGGGCTTACCAATTTACATGCCCTTCAACAGTGAACAAGGGTTCCCTTTTCTCCACATCCTTGACAGCAATTATCTCTCTTTTTAAAATATGTTTTCATTGATTTTTTTACAGAGAAAGGAAGTGAGAGAGAAACATCAATCAGCTGCCTTCTGCAACCCAGGCATGTGCCCTGACCAGGAATTGAACTGGTCCCTCTCATTCCATGTGATGATGCTCAATCCACAGCCACACCAGCCAGGCATCTCATTTTTTGATAACAGACAAGAGACGATACCTCATTGTGGTTATGATTTACAATTCTCTGATGATTAGTAATGTTGAGTATCTTTTTATGTATCGGTTTGCCTTCTTTAGAAAAAAGTCTATTCAGGTACAGTGTCCATTTTTTAATTGGACTACTGTAATTTTTTTGCTGTTGAGTTATATGAAATACTTATATATATATTAAAGATTAATCCCTTATCTGATATATGGTTTCCAGATATTTTTTCCTATTCCACAGGTTGCCTTTTCATTGTGTTGTTTCTTTTGCTATGCAAAAGCTTTGTTATTTAATGTAATCCCACTTGTTTATTTTTGCTTCTGTTGCTTGTGCTTTTGATAGTATATTCAAAAACTTGTTGCCATGACCAATGTGATTGAGTATTTCCCCTTTTTTGTAGGCTCAACATTATTATTAACTAAAGTCTACAGTTTACATTAGGACTGACTGTGTTGTATAGTTCTGTGACCTTTCACAAGTGCATGATATCAAGTGTCCACCACTCCAATATTGGCCTTTTATTTTTAGGTTAAAAGGTTTTCTTATCGTTGATCATTTTAAGAATTCTTTCTACATTTTAGATACGTCTTTTATGAGATATGTGTTTTGCAAATATTTTCTTCCAGTTTATGTCCTCTGTTTTCATGTTATTTGTAAGTCATTTTAATTAAATTTATTGGGGTGACAATGGTTCACAAAACCATACAGGTTTCAAGTGTACAACTCAACAAAACATCATCAGTACAATGCATCAAGGATCCATTGCCCAAAGCAAAGTCTTTTTCCATCTCCATTAATCTCCCTCTTTGCCCAACTCTACCTACCCCCACTCACCTTTCCTTCTGGCCATCACTGCACTGTTGTCTGTATCTATGTGCCATGATATCTATATCTACAGACATATAATTTATTTGCTTAATACCTTCACCTTTTTTCACCAAGCCCCACCATCGCCCTCCCCTTCGACAGCTGTCAGTCTACTCCATGTATCCATGCCCCTATTTCTATTTTGTTCATCAGTTACTTTATTAGATTCTACATATAACTGAGATCATATGGTATTTGCCTTTCTCTATCTGGCTTATTTCACTTAGCATAATAATCTCTAGGTCTATCCATACTGTCCAAAAGGTAAGATTTCATTCCCCTCCCTCCCTTTTTTTTTTTTTTTACAACTGAGTAGTATTCAATTGTGTAAATGTACCACAGCTTTTTTATCCACTCAGTTGATGGGCACTTGGGCTGTTTGCAGATCTTGGCTATTGTAAATAATACTGGGATGAACATAGTGGTACATATATTCTTTCTGATTGGTGTTTTGGGATTCTGTTGATATATTCCCAGAAGTAGGATCGCTTAGTAAAAAGGCAGTTTCAGTTTTAATTTTTTGAGTAAACTCTACTGTTTCCACCAGTCTGCATTCTCACCAAACAGTGCACAAGTGTTCCCCTTTCTCCACATTTTTGTCAGCACTTGTTCTTTGTTAATTTATTGATGATAGCCATTCTGACAGGCATGAGGTGATATTTCATCATGGTTTTAATTTCCATCTCTCTGATAGCTAGTGACATTGAGCATTTGTTGACATGTCTATTGGCTATCTATTCAGATCCTTTGCCCCCTTTTTAACTGGGTTGTTTGTCTTCTTGGTGTTGAGTTGTATCAGTTCTTACATAGTTTAGAAATTAACCCCTTATGAGATGTACCATTTGTAAATACGTTCTCCCAATCAACAGGTTCCCTTTTCATTTTGTTGATGGTTTCTTTTGCTGTGCAAAAGCATTCTAGTTTGCTATAGTCCCATTTTTTTCCCTTTGTTTCCCTTGCTCAAGGAGACATATCAGCAAAAAAGCTGCAACTAGAAATGTCTGAGATTTTACTACCTAGGATTTCTTCTAAAGTTTTTATCATTTTGTGACTTACATATAAGTTTTTAATCCATTTTGAGTTTATTCTTGTGTATATTGTAAGTTGGTTTAGTTTCATTTTTTTAAAACTCATTTTTATTGTTGAATGTATTACAAATGTTTCTCCCTTTTCTCCCCATTGACCCCCTCCTCCTCATTCCCGCCCCCTCCTGCCTTCCCCACACTATTGTCAGTGTCCATTGGTTGTGCATATATGCATAGAAGTTCTTTGGTTTACCTCATCCCACCCTCCCTCCCCCTTTCCCTTTGAGGTTCATCAGTCTAACAACCAATTTGTACTTCTTAATTCCTTCATCTTTTTTACCTACCCTCCAAGTCCACCTGGCAAGCAACAAAAAGTTCTCTGTATCTATGAATCTGTTTCTGTTCTCCTTGCTCATTTTGTTTGTGGATTCAATTGTTGATAGATATTTATTATTTGCCATTTTATTGTTCATATTTTTGTTCTTCTTTGCCTTCAAGAAGACCCTTCAACATTTCATATAATACTGGTTTGGTGGTGATGAATTCCTTTAGCTTTATCTTGTCTGGGAAACTCTTGATATGGCCATTGATTCTAAATGATAGCTTTGCAGGATAGAGTAATCTTGGTTCTAGGTCATTGCTTTTTATCACCTTGAATATCTCTTGCCACTCCTTTCTGACCTGCAAAGTTTCTTTTGAGAAATCAGCTGACAGTCTTATGGAAGCTCCTTTGTAGGTAACAGACTGCTTTTCTCTTGCTGCTTTTAAGATTATCTCTTTGTATTTAACCTTTGGCATTTTGATGATGATGTTTCTTGGTGCGGACCTCTTTGGGTTCAACTTGTTTGGGACTCGCTGTGCTTCCTGAACTTGTATGTCTGTTTCCTTCACCAAA